AATAAAAGGATATATAGCAAGAGGGGAGGGGAAAGTGTGAAGAACTAAAAAAAGAAAAAGATGAGAAGAGAGGAGAGAGATGAGGGAAAAGAATAATTAAAGAAAGAAAGGAGATTTTCTCTTACCTTAGTCAAAGTCTTCAAAGTGAAAAATTATCTACTTACAAATATGCTCTCCTTCAAAACTCAAGTCAAATGCTACTTAATGCAAGTGCACCAACCACTTCTATTTATACTACTCCCAATATTATTACGTTACTCCGTGAATAACTCAAACAAACAAAAAAATCCAAACAAAATAATAATATTGATGTGGTTGACAGCAATATTACTGTAACAACAGTAATATTACCGTCAACCACAGTAATATTATTGTGTTTACAATAATATTAAAATAATAGACAGTAATATTATTACGTTACTCCGTGAATAACTCAAACAAAACAAAAAACTCAAAATAATAATAATATTGATGTTGTTGACAGTAATATTATTGTGTTTACAGTTATTTTACTGTCAACGACAGTAATATAATTACGTTAACTTGTCAACAAATCAAACAAAATTAAAAAAATAGCAAAAAATAAAAAATGATAATAGTACGTTAATTTACTGTCAACGGCAGAACAATTACATAAATGTATTGTCAACGGCAGTACAATTACGTTAATTAACTGTCATTAACAGTATAATTACGTTAATTTACTGTCAGTGACAGCACAATTACGGTCAACGTTTAGCGGCGGACGTAAAAAAAACGAAAAAAAAATAAATAAATAAATAAACCTTAAAAAAACACTAAAAAAAAATCAACGCCAGAAACCGGCAAAAAAATCCTAAAGAAAAAAAATAAAAATAAAAATAAAATTCAAAAAGTCAACGCCGGAGACCGGCGGCAAAAAAAGTTTGAAAAAAAAAAGTCGAAATTGGATTTTTATGGTCAAAATTGATTAAATTGGGGTTACAATTAAGAATTGTGTATAAAAGATTGGGGGTAATATTGTCATATACACGAATGTTTCATTTATTTATAATAAATATTAAAGGGATGGGCTTATTGGTGAAAGAGATATAGCCCATAAATCTAGAATAATAAAGATGTTTGGTTAGGGACTTGGGCACAAAAATCCCTCAATTATTCACGTTCAACGCACATGTCCCTTTCTAGTTTTTTGAAAACGCTATATACCTCATTTTGGGAGGCTCGTCTTGGTAGGGTGATAGATAGGTATACTTTCCGATTTTATTTTCATTTTGCGGGGTACTCTTTCATTGTGAAGACCCATAAGATTTTTAACGAGGCCCGTGTAATCATTTTATGGAATAAAAATCGGACTTTGGCCTAAAAAAATTTAAAACTTTTTTTAAAAATTTAAAAAAAAATAATAAAATTAAATAAAAATAAAGTTTAAAAAAACACATTACTAAATCACCTATAATACACAAATATATAAAAAATGGGTCTTCCTATCCTAACACATGAGAGGTTGTAACCTCCATATTCCACTATAGATTCTCAACTTCTCACTATCCCATTATCCTCACACTTTGTAGTGGTTGTAACTCCTTTGTAACTTCCAGTGGATTACACCAATATAAATGAGAATTTCCATTCCCCTAAACATCCACAATTATCTCTCTACAGAGCTTGTTCACTTGTGTTCTCTCATTCTCTCTCTATTATTGTTATTACGTTGTTATGTATGTCCACAATCACAAACCAAAGAGCTATTTTAAATAAGTCATTTTACAACACGTTATTAGCACAAAGTGCTCGCCGTTATCGTGGAAAGACAATCGTTCGTGTGGAGAGGATACTCGAAGAATTCGAGGTGCTCGTGGAAAGGTAATTGTTCGTAGGACAAGGTTACTTGGAGAACTTGTGATCCGGGTTTGTATGTGAAACGTTAATCTCGGAAGAATGCATAATATAATATCCTTCGTAATATTTGGATTTAAGTGTTTCAAATAAACTTTAATCGCCTTGCAATTTTGATTTCGTAAGATATGCATGATAGATCTATTTAATGGCATGAAATATATGAAGTATATATTTATGTTCAAGTCATTACTTCATTTATACCCTGGATAATTTGAAAATATGATCTGATTGGTAATCTTTATTCTATAGTGTGATTAAAATGTCTTCATATTTCGTATATTAATTGCTCTGAGCATGTGAAATGATATCTTATTATTGGGCAAAAGTATTGCATGTTCAAGTATGAAATATTGTCATTAATTTGGCCGTCTCAATCACGTTATATGATTCTCTGTTTGCTATACATGATGATGTCAATGTTTGAGATTCAAAGTGATGAAATCTGGTGACATATATATTCTTTTATCTCAGGCTCTTTACGTATTATCACTTATTCTCAATGTGATTGTATGAATTTCACATTATGAATCTATTTAGTTAATAGTAACTAACTATCTCAGTCATTTCAAATTGGTTCATAGCATTTGTATTAGTTATATATACATGATAATTATGATTTATATCATGACAAGCTATACGGTTTTGATTATCTTTTATACCAATACTATTGAGCATCATGATATGTCTTTGATGTTTGACAAATTTTCATTGTTTTTATTGGATGAAGACATTGATCCATCTCTAATTGAGAATTCTATTCAATTGATCCATTGTTTATCTGTTATATGTAATTTTGTGACATAAGTGCGATTTTGGTTCTTCGTTATGGTTTATCTTATGAAGTTCATGAATGTGTATGAACATGTGGTGTATGAATTATTAAACCGAAAGTTCTAATAAGTTGAAATATTCATGAAATTATCTATGGAGGTTATATTCCCATAAAACACTAATATTCCATACAATATTTGATTCAAGACGAAACACATCAGCAAACTCGAGTTCACCTATCTCAATGTATCTGATGAAAATTGTATTAGGTGAAAAATGGATGTTAAGGTCTATCTACTCAGTATGAAATTAAGAAAACATGTTTAAAGTACTCCAACTTTTAGACTAAGTTTTGTTTAAAGTCAACTTTTGAAAACATGTTAGGTCATTGACTTCAGTAGATTATCCGAGCTTACTCCCTTGTACGTATCTGGGAGAGTTAACTTGTGGGGGAGTACCGTGTAGATACTCAGTTCAGAATAATCGGGTGCTTTGTTGTGCTCTTTTTCCTTCGTTCGTTACTCGCCAAGGTTTTAACGAGGTGACACATGCAGATTGGAAAGATTGTGCGTTTTACTCTTTTCCTAACCGATTTTATTTTTTCCCACTGAATTTTTATTAATCGAACAGTTTGAACGAGACAGCATGAACAACACAGTAGTATTTTGATAGGAATACCCAAGGGAGGTGTTGTAAATAACATGTAAAAATGGGTCTTCCTATCCTACCACATGAGAGGTTGTAACCTCCAAATTCCACTATGAATTCGCAACTTTTCACTACCCCATTATCCCCACACTTTGTAGTAGTTGTAACTCTTTTGTAACTTCCGGTGAATTACACCTCTATAAATAAGAATTTTCCCTCCCCTAAACACCCACAATTATCTCTCTACGGATCTTGTTCACTTGTGTTCTCTCATTCTCTCTCTATTATTGTTATTACGTTCTTATGTATTTCCACAATCACAAACCAAAGAGTTAGATTAAATAGGGCATTTTACAAAAATAACTAAACAAAAGAACACATATTTCCTGTCTAATCCAAACATATGCGGCTATATGCGACTTGAACGAAGGTATCAACTCGGGAACTTTTGGCCCACCCGGCCAAGCTCCATCCAAGGTTTCTGGCCCGAGAAAGTCTGGAATTTTACGGCAGGACTGTGATAAGAAACACCCTCAACCTCAGCCACTATCCGCCTAGCATCATCATTGCCCATAAAATCCTCAGCACCATGATTTTCGACAAAATGATCATAATCACCACCAATATCAACGAGAACATATGGTCCTATCTCGGTTGCCATGGCTTCCTGTCGCGTCCTCTCCCTCTCCAAACCCAGCCTTTTACGAGCAGATGAGAGAATCAACCGGTCCCATATGCGATCCAAAACCTCGGTCACTTTGGAGCTCTTTCCCCACCGAAATTTAAATATCACTTTTTTCTTTACCTGCCATCTATAGTTTTTCACATCCAAAAATATTTATGTTATTATTTAAACAAAACAGTTATATATAAAAAAATGGAAAAATTAATATAATTAGTTCATAATTTATTCGTTAGTAATTTTTTTTTTTTTTTTTTTTTTTTGCATAAGATAAAGACATGAAGAAATTAAAACACAAATTCTGATTTTTCTATTAATTTTGCTTTTTCCGTTTCCAAAATAAAAAAATAAAAATAAAAACAAAAAAAAACAATAAGGAAATATCTTCAAAATTCTATTTTTTGAAGATTTCAACAACAAAAGAAAAATCATCTGCGAAATTCCAGGCTGATATTTCAGCTGCAATTTTTTTTTTTTTTTTATGGATTCTCGAATTTTGAAGAATCAATAAAAATGTTTTTGCGGGTTCTTTGTTTGTTTATCCAGAATTAGAGGTAGTTTTTTATTTTTTAAGAATCGTAATCTACGAATTACTAACCTGAAATATGTTGACGTATGTCCCGCCGGAAAATTTGAGAATTTGTGAGAGTTTCAAAGAATTGATTTTGACGTTTTAATAATCAATTAAAAAGTTCATGCAAGGTGAATTATTTGCCTATCAATCATTCCAGGTCAACTAATTAAAATGATTTAACAAATCCAGTCGTAGATCTTAAGATTTAACAAGTCTTGGTAGGCACTAAATTCTTTTTGGCCAAATTTTCTTTTCAAAAAACAGTATGTAATATTTTGATATTAAAATCTATTTAAAAAAATTTAAATCCATGAGGAGATAAATCGAATCAAATAGTAAAATTTGAATCATAAATCCAATGGATTTTAGCGACGACGGCATTGCTCATCATGTATTGTTCTTGGCAAGGCAAAGCCAAAGTCGATCAATGAAAATCTGCAGACGGTGCAACAAATGCATAAGCTCTTCATTTCAGAACATGAACAACAAACTGTATGATCATAAAATATGTCCAAAATGTCCAACAAAAGGATTTTAAAAAAAAAGTAAACACTTATCTTCTCTATCTAAAACCTATCAGTTGCAACTTACAACACTAAAATCATAAACCTGTGACAACAAAGGCAGGGCATTAGGTACAAATTTTGCTAAAAATGTCAAACTATTTTCCATATCACCTGTCGCTTGTCCTGTCTCCCTCCTCGGGCCAAGAAAAAAAACACGAGAATTGCCATGACCAGATATATAACCCACCCTCCCTCCTCAAGCTTGAAGAACCTGACAGTGAACAACGCGATTTTTGAAGCGGTTTCTGCCAGCAAGGTTTGACAAAAAGTTTGTAAATAAAGTTTTCAAGTGCCCTTTCTCCGATATATTCTCCCATAAATGGTCAGCAGCAGCGTTGCCATGGTCATATTTAGAGACATCAACAAGAGAAATACTCATATTATTTCTGATAATGCACAATTTCCCATTAAGAGGGAGAACCGCTGCTGCCTCAAAAGCCTTCGAGTTCCCTAAATGCATTATTTTACTTTCAAGATGTTTGGTCCAAGAGCCACTAGTTTCATCGTATATTCTAAGTTTGCATCCATCTTTGCAATCTAAACCGTATAAATTGCCATCGATTGTAGCACAAGGATGCCTCCAACCAGCAACCATTCCATCATAAACATTATTCCACCGATCGGTTTCAGGTTCATAAACCTCACTAAGTACCTGCCTGTGAGAACCGATCCCCTTCAAGAACCACTTCCCTTGATATACAACCCCTATGTAAGGCACCATTGCAGTTTTCATATCTGAAATAAACGACCATCTATTTTTATTTGGATCATAAACCTCAGCTGATTTTAATGACCTATGAGTCCCTTCATTCTCTCCACCAGCTACGTACAAACAGTTGTTTATTACGCAACAACCAAAGAAATGTCTCCTCCTAAGCATATCTGGTGCACGGTGCCATTTGTTCGTCCTAGCACTGTAGAACACAACTCTTCTCATTGAACCCTTAATCGGATCTTTCCCGCCAAACAAGTAAAGGTGACAACCACTAAGAACAGCTGACCCAAAATCGAGGGCTTCGGAATATTCTCTCGGTAAAGGAGGTAACGGTTGCCAAAGGTGATGCATGGGGTCATACGCATGCCATGATAGTTTTCCGTCTCGGTCTCTCTTCATGATGTATATCCACTCCTCTGCGATTCCGATGTTTTTCCGAAGAGAGTAGAAGAAATTACCGGCCAAAAGACGATACCATCTTTTGCAGACGAGACGGAGCTTGAAATGTTCGATTCTTGGTACGCGGATTAAGCATGCAATTGCCAGGTCATCTGGGAGACCAGGTAGAAGAGGGGATTGACTCCTGTTTTTGTCACGTGGTGGTTTCTGTCTGGTTGGGTGAATTGAAGGTTTAATGTCAGGCTGTAGACATAGCTTTGTACCCGGTACGTACCTTTTAGCCCCAGCAACAGTTTTCAGGCCTGCATCAACTCTACAAAGGCATGCTGTTGTATCTACCTGTTGCCAATATCATTATTACTTTTTGCCGTCTATATGAAAAAAACTATGATTATCAGACACATTAAGCTACACTACAACATTAGTACTTTCTACAGTAAGACAAAGTAATATCATTGTTTTTTTTTTTTTTGAGAACGAACGATTGCCATGATAATAGACACAGCACTTATTTCCATGTCGGAGTACCATTTCAGTTCATAGGCCTCGAACCTTCGAGGTTCATATTGTTGTACCCCACAATTTCTTTGTGTTCTCCTTTCACCTCTAAAAGCATTTCTGGTACGATTGAGGTTTTAGCCCCAGAAAAAAAATAAGTTCATGCAACTCTTATAGAAAATAAATCAGTTTGAAACAACATTTAGTTGCAGTGGACTATAAAATAAGAACTAGCAGGCATATCTTATAATTGTAATAGTAGAAGCAGTTTTATCATAGTTCCTATGCAACCAAACAACTGAAATGTTGTTCCTTAATGTTTCTTCACTAAATATAAGATCGAAGGATACTATAAAGACAAGAAGTTGTTTCCCAGCGCAATAGATAGTTACTATAATTTTTGCTCTTTTTATTTGTCATTATCAGAAGCTGATAACCAATTAACAGGAAGAACAAATAAAACATTCTCAGTCATCCCAGAAACCATTTACAATTAACTTTGGCATGTTTGTTTTCAATACATATGCCATTAGGCTTAAATGGAAGCAATTGAACCCAGCCTTCTAAGTTAATAATTCTTAGTAACATTGTACGTCATTCATCCAGTTTAGGCACTTTGGTATCTCAGATGCCATAATTCCAATAATCTCTTTCGAGAGATATTATGGTCGATTTGGATGGATTGAGGGATTTGGAGGATAGATTTCAAATCCATAATAAGAAATCTCTTGCACTTGCATGGATTGAGGGATTTGGGGGTGGATTTCAAATCCCCACCCCTCCTTTTTAGTTATAAATGGAGCAATTGATATGGAATTCAAATTACTCCAAATTGGAGTTATTTCAAATCCTTCCTCCAAATCCCTTCCCCAAATCAAATCCCTCTATCCAAATGGAGCCTTAGAGAATACTAGATTACTAAGACAAAAAAAAAATACGAGAGAACAGTGAAAACAACCAAGATATCGATAGTAAAAGTTTTAGAGGAATTTATTCTGATCAACTAGTATCATGCATAAGAGGGAAAACAATGACAGCATGAAAATGACATAGCATATACCATTGTCAAGTAAATTATGCATTGGTATCTCAAAAAGCTCAATGGTGAAAATTTATACTTTTACTGAGATTCTTGAACGGGCTGCGATAAACTTAAGCTAGTATCATGCATAGGAGGAAGAACAATGACATCTGTGTAAATGAATATGCACTGTCAAGTAAATTATGCATTGCTTTATAAGAGCTTAGTGGACAGCTTATTATTCTTTTACTGAGATTCTTGCACGAGTTGTAGTACCGTCTAGAATTTAAAGTTATGGACAAGACCAAAAAATATAAAGATTACAAGAATCCAACATTTGTAGGTATTCAACTCAAAGAAGAGCTTCCATAAGCATACAAATGTTTTCTTTCCTGTCCTTTTAGTTACAAAATTATCAATCAAACTCGTAAATTCAAGTTTCCCTGCATTATATTTCACAAAGGATACAATAGCTAATTTTTTTAGACTTTCTTGGGACATGGTTAATTAATTGTAAAATTTAAGCAATTTCAACTTTGAGATGCTTCTTTTTGGAGAAACAACGCTAGCTAGTAAAGTAAGTAGCATTCGGTAAGCAACTCATGCATTCGAAAAACATGCATCCAGTTTTTTCAAGTACCATCATACTCCAATTATCTTTCCAATCTATTTTGGTAAAAAATTTCTCAACATTGTAAATTCTAAAAATAATTCTGAAATCGCATGAAAAGTTAAATTTATCTTCAAACTTCTGAAAATGTTGAAATCATATCTTTCATGAAGTAAGAGTTTGTGCAAAACACTGCACCATAAAAATCTTTTGTTATAAGAGATTCATTGGAGAATTGAATTTGGAGAAGCTATTTAACAAATAATATTTTAAAAAAATGGAGTACCTAAAAGTGTGAGGACCTAAAAGTCATTAGAATATGGAGCCCTAGTTGGGGGGCTATCCTGCCTATAGCTTAAGCTGATCCTGCTTATCAGTCTTGAATATCATTATCATTTTTTTTCTGTTATAGTTGTAGTAATATGATTTTAAAAGCAAAAAGTTTTTTTGTTAGTTCACTGAAACCTATTACCTAATCTCTTTTTATTTTTGAACCCTTACAAAGTAACCATATAGCATATTGCCAAGTCTTAGGGAACACTTCATAATATAATTATAAGTGTTATAACCTGCTCATGGAACTGGATGTCCAACAACATATACCTAAATTATTAAAATATTTAGGCAGTATAGCACTTCCACTTTATTAACCTTAATAATACTCATTCAATTACTTGTGAGCATGAATAAAGTGATGAATATTCTTGCAGGCAAAGAGAATTGAAAGCTTCCATTGGTATTTATGAACAAAAAGGAGAGACAAAATGTAAACTTATTAAGTAAGAGTAGCAGATTGTCAGAGGGTGCCGATAATAGATACTCGATACCTATTTGTATAAGTGATTGTGGGCAAAAAGAATGAAATTCAAAATTAAATTAGAAAAAAAGGAAGAATAACAATTGTGAGTGGAAAAGCAGAAAATGGAAGAGATTTATTTACCAGGGGAGGCTGAATTCTTCTATCCATTCGCAGCTGAGAAATTATAGTTTTGCCGTTCAAGCTTATTTAAATGCTATGCTACCTAAAATGGGAAACAGCATGAATAATTAATTAGAAATTGCTATTAGGTAGACTGAATCTCCACAGCAACAAAATTATTAAAAATAAATAAATAAAATTCGAAATCCTTACCACATAACGAATCGTCAAGTGAAAGCATAAATCAAAGTGATCGACGGAGCAAATTGATGTGCAAAATCAAAACGACCCAGATTGGGACAATTAATTTATGTGAAGAAAAACAAATGTGTAATCCTCCAAAAAAAAAAGGAACCCTAAAATGTGCGAAGAAGAAAATGGAGGGCAAGAGAGAAACTCAGTGAAGAACGATGGTAAGATTGAAAACTCTGCGACTCTGGATTTTAATTTGTGATTAATTATGTCTGTGTTTCACACCATAGGCATAGGCATAGATAGAGAGAGAGAGAGAGAGCATTAACTCAAATATGAGTGCAAAATTGGGCCCATACAAAACAACCTAACACGCACTACTACACTCTTGTTTGCTTGTTTGCTCGCCAAAAGGACCAAACAATGAGAGCAAAAGCCCCCAAAACTTGTAATTTAGACTTTCAAAGTAAAAGAAGATGATAGTGGGGGAACATCAAAATTGGAAATTATGAGTTGACTATTTAGTCAAAACGTAAATATGGGTTTGTTTCTTTTCTTAGTGTACACATCAAATTTTATGGTTGGAGACAATGTTTTTAAAATCGAACCCTATCACTAAGTGTAGACACGGCCACGGCCGGGTTTGACCCGGATCCAAGCCCGGACCCGCCCAGTTGACCACGGACATGGACCCGAACAAGCATGGGTCGGTTTCGGGTCCAGATATTTTGGACCCGAGACCCGATGGCTCTACCCGCCGGAGGACCCAGTCCGAGGACCCGTCGGGTCAATCCGGAATATCCGGTTTTTTTGTTCAAAAATTAGGCATTGGGGGATTTGAACTCGGAAAAATGGGCAAAGTTGGGCAACTATAACCACTGAGACAACTAACGTACTTAAATAAATGTAGACAATATATATATATATATATATATATATATATATATATATATATATATGTGTGTGTGTGTGTGTGTAAAATGATAAATATGTTAAACAAATTATTAATTTTCATATTAATTATTATTAAATAATTTTAATTAAATTATTAACAAATTCAACATAAGAAACTCTTAAAATATATATATAGAATCACGGTTCAATACTTCAAGACATCTATTATTAATTATTATATCAATTTAAAATCCACTATTGAAAAGTATAAAGTATTGAATCAATTCAATATATAAACAAATACGTTGACGTAATACAAACTCACTTATTTATTAAAATCGATGGTGTGAAAAATTCGAATGAAAAATAAAATAAGATGTTTATTTGAAAAAATAGATTATAACTCATTTCAATTAATTTAAATCGATTAACCTCAATTGTTGACAAGAACTTATTAAAATTATTGATTATTTTATCAAAAGATAATTATTTAAAAATTTAGATGATGTTTATTTTAACAAAAATAGATTATATCTCATTCTAATTAATTTCTTACTTTAAAATAAAACTATACATGACGAGTATATTAAAATATTATGATGTGATTTCTCTTTTAATAATTGGTTTGATTTGTAAAAATCGTAGGTCATATGATTTAATCATTTTTTTACATTTACATTTTATTCAAATATTAGAATCGAACCGTAAGATTTAAATGGATTAAGCTCAAGTCCTTTCAATTTATTTTAATTTTATATTATATTATATTTGTTAATAATTTAATTAAAATTATTTAAGAATAATGAATATAATAATTAATAATCTAGTTAACATTATTTATTATAATTGTAATCAAATACACCTTTTGTTTATGTGATACAGATTTTGTGCAAGTAGTTTCACAAATATTTGTCTTGGCTCATTGGTTTGGAAGCCATTCGTATGTGTGGGAACTTGAGTTCGAACCGACCGGAACCGGGTGGACCCGATTGGACACGGCCCGGCCACGGACCCGCCTCCCCGTGGGTCGGTTTCGGGTCCTTTAAAACTCAGACCCGGACCCAGACCCCGCCCGCCCCGTGGCCGTGTCTAATTAAGTGGATCACGATTGAACCGGTGCAATTCGGTTCAACCTGGCTTTTTTTTTTTTTTTTATCATTGTATAAAATTTAATATTTTAAAATATTTTTTATATATTTTTATTTATGACAACCACTCTCTTCACATTATCTAACTCATATCTTATTTCCATAATATATAGGTCAATGCATACAAAACTACAAAACTTATTATAACTAAATGACAAGTTCAACTAAATAAAAATATATTAAAAAAACAGTATTTTAAATAAACTCATTTCAATATCTTTAGTCTAAAATACCCTCCATAATATAACCCAGACCCCGCCCACCCCGTGGCCGTGTCTAATTAAGTGGATCATGATTGAACCGGTGCAATTCGGTTCAACCGGGCTTTTTTTTTTTTTTTTATCATTGTGTAAAATTTAATATTTTAAAATATTTTTTATATACTTTTATTTATGACAACCACTCTCTTCACATTATCTAACTCATATCTTATTTCCATAATATATAGGTCACTGCATACAAAACTACAAAACTTATTATAACTAAATGACAAGTTCAACTAAATAAAAATATATTAGAAAACAGTATTTTAAATAAACTCATTTCCATATCTTTAGTCTAAAATACCCTCCATAATATAATTATTATCAATTCCATCCATTATGCTCTAACTTCCTTAATATTACACATTGACCTCGGATTTAAACAAATATATCACATTAACCCTCATTTTAATAATTCTTTGAAAGTTTTTTTTCCAGAAAATAATTTATTTTCTGAAAAAAAAAATTCTGGCGTTGACTTCATTTTATTTTTTTGAAAACTTTTTTTTTTCTGAATTTTTTTCCAGCCGATCAACCGTCGTTGACCGCCGGTCTCTGGCGTTGACTTTTTTTCGATTTTTATTTTTCTTGGAATTTTTTTTTTAGAAAATTTTATTTTAATTCATATTACTGTTTTGGCTGCTAATTTACTGTCTCAGACAGTAATATTACTGTTTGAGACAGTAATATTATGAATATTATTTTTCCGAACAGTAATATTAATAATATTACTATCCCAAACAGTAATATTATTGCATATGATAGTAATATTACGGTCCGAGACAGTAATCTTACTGTTGAAGACCGTAATATTACTATCCTATGCAGTAATATTAATTAGTACAGTAATATTAATGTCTCAGGCAGTTAAATTACTGTTGAAGACAATAATTTAGCAGCCAAGACAGTAATATTAATTAAATTTTTTTTTTTTAATTAACCTTAATGGGTTTTTCTTCCATGTAAACTATCATTTTATCGTCTTGTGACTCCATTTTATAAATTTTGTGCGGTTTCAATTTATTTGGATTTTGAGCTTTTTTGGAGGATTTGTGAAGAAGGATGAGGAGGAGGGTGCGAGGGTTTTGTGTGTGGTATTAAACAAAGAAAAATCATATTTTTTATGTTTGTATGGTACTGATTTTCACTAAAGGTGCGTTTGGATGGAAGAATTTGGAGGAAGGATTTCAAATCCATAATAACAAATCAGCGGCGGATATATGTGTTGAGTGTAGATTTTACACCCAATACGTTTACTTTATGTGGATCTTTTGTTTAGATTTAATTATATTTGTGCTTTAATTGATTGATTTTGTGTTTTATAGGTGAAAAACGAGAATTAGGTGTCCATGAAGGAAAAAGATCAAAAAGGAAGGAAAAAAGTTGCAAATAAGGAAATAATCAAACTGAGATAAGGAATCTCGCCACAGCTTTGGCAGTGTTCACCATTTCAGGCATATCTCTCTCATACGAAATCTGAATCAGCTTATTATTGTGTCATTGGAAAGCTAATTTCAAGAGCTATAATTCTTATTTGCGCAACATTCCAAAATTCGGACTCCAACATGGCAAAAATCGAAGAACAAATCCTGATGGGGGAAAGTAGCGAAAATTGATTCCTATTAGATTTCCACTACTTCCTTATCAAGAAAAGCCTATAAAAGTAACAAGCTTCTACACCATAAGCACGGAATTTTACACCACAACACAGGAAGCGCGAAGATCAACGAAGACTCAAGCATAGTTTATTTTATTTATTCTATTTTGTTTATCATAAGAATTACGAGTAGCTAAGTTTTTAATCTAGGATTTTATTAGAACCCTATGTGGTGATTCGAACCTATTTTTCTAATATTATGCAATTTTAAATTCCATGATTGTTTTTTCTATCTGATCTTATTTAGTGCATGAATCTAGCTAATTTATATTGCTATGTGTTATTGTTAGAATTGAATCGACATATCGTTTTAATAATTAGAACAGGGATAGAAAAGCCTTCGAGTTGGTTTCACCGTATGAGTGTGTCAATTGCATGTATTATCGTAGACATATAGATAATACCTTAGGTAGCCGTTTACGAGACTCGTTATTAATATTTATTCATAATTGGTTTGCATAGACATATAGTGAATCGTTTATGAATAATAGACTCATAATACATGAGACAACGGGTTATGAGTAATTGAGCATCTCGGGTTAATAATCAGGAATTGTAACATGCATGATAGAGGCTTAATTGGGTGATGAATTATCGCATAAGGAGAAGATAAAATCCTAGATCCGTTTTTATGGATGTTTTCTGGTATTTATTTGCTTTAATAATTAGATTAGTTATTTAATTGATTAAATTTGACAATCTTGCGTAGGCTGGATAAAAATCATAATTGTTAGAATTTGGTACTTAGGATTAGGTAATTTGAGTATTCCATGTGGGATCGACATCCGACTCTCACGAGTCCACTTTTATTACTTGTTTGTGATACGTGCACTTGCGTGTTAGGTATTTAGCCCAACAAGCAAGCCCATTTTTTTATTAGTTCAAACCTACATAAAGGGGTTTATTAGTCCAAGCCCGTAAATTAATCTTATCTTATTACATCAAGGCCAAAGAGGACGAATATACCTTTATCCACAAATAATACCCAAACACAAACAAACCCTATTTTTAATTTGTTCAAGACCAAAAAATCAAAAAAAAAAAAAAAAAAAAAAAACTCACGACTGCTACGGCCAGACCGCCGCAACGCCGACCAACGAGGCTTCCACCGCGCCGGCGACGACTAGCGACCCACCCACCGCACCACTACCAACAAGTCCTTTTTACTAAACTTTTGTTTGTAAATTCTAAAATATTAATCGAGCATCGATTTTTCATAAATATGCGTGGATGAATATTAATCTATGCTTATTTCTTGTTGGGTTGCAATACTTTAGCCGATTTTGGAAAAAACATTGAGATTGAAATTGGTTTTTTTGCGTGTTTTCGTTGGCTTCCCAAATCGGTTTACCCATACCGATTTTGTACACGATATTCGGCGTCATAATGCCGATTTTTGTTAACCAAATCGGCGATACAACGTCGACTTTACAAGTAAAAATCGGTGTTGTAATGCCGATTTTTTATTTTTTTAATATTTTCTATTTTTTATTTGGTTTTGAATTCATTAAGGATAAAGCAGTATTTTTATGTTGGAGTTCTTGAACTAATAAAACAAGGGCTTGCATATATCGGCCGCCTAACAAATCCCTTACACTTGTTTGGATTGAGGGATTTGACAAGGAATTTTAAATCTCCACCCCTATTTTTTAGTTGTTTTTTGATCAATAGGGTGGATTTCAAATTACTCTAAATTCAAGTAATTTCAAATCACTTCCTCAAATCAAATCCCTCAATCCAAATGGACCCTAAAGGTATTAATGTCATTACGTATTCATTACATATTTTAGGGTAAATTACGGCTACCTTCTGATATAAGGTCAAATTACGAAACTCCCTCATTTTTGGGTAATTATAATCACCCCCTGAACTATGAATATTCTTACACGTCCACCCTTATGATGTCAAATTCAACAGAATCTTCTATATTTCGTGGAACGTTATCGGATTTGTACTCGTTTTGTGCAAAAATGCAGTTTCTGATACACCACAATCTGATATTTACAAGGCAAGAGACACATCTTATGATCATTTTATTTTAGAATATGGAGCTCAAATGGGGTAAAACATGTACAAACTAAAAAATATTTCATTTAACCGCCCTAGACACGGCCACGACCCGGGTTTGACCCGGACCCGCCCTGTTGACTATGGACCCGGACCCGACAAAGCACGAGTCGGTTTCGGGTCCAGGTATTTTGGACCCGAGACACGAAGGGTCTATCCGGCAGGGGGGCCCGAGGACCCGTCGGGTCCACCCTGATTTTGAGTGTAATAACACAAAAAATGGTGTGATTCAACACCATGAATATACTTACACGTCCACCCTTATGATGTCAAATTCAACAGAATCTTTTATATTTCGTGGAACGTTATCTGATCTGTACTCGTTTTGTGCATAAATGCAGTTTCTGATGCACCACATATTTACAAGCCAAGAGACTTATCTTATGATCATTTTATTTTAGAATATGGAGCTCGAATGGGGTAAAACGGGTACAAAATAAAAAATATTTCATTTAACCGCCCTAGACACGGCCACGGGCCGGGTTTGACCCAGACCCGCCCCGTTGACCATGGACCCGGACCCGACAAAGCACGGGTCGGTTTCGGGTCGAGACCCGACGGGTCTATCCGGCAGGGGGGCCCGAGGACCAGTCCACCCGGATTTTGAGTGTAATAACACAAAAAATGGTGTGGTTGGGTTTCGAACCCGGGTGGCCCGACTGGTTTAGTAAAGTACTAATCACTCAAGCAAAGTTAATTATTATTATATTTATCCTAACGCGATATATATATATATATATATATATATATATATATATATATATATATATATATATATATATATATATATATATATATATATATATATATATATATATATATATATATATATATATATATATATATATATATATATATATATATATATATATATATATATATATATATATATATATATATATATATATATATATATATATATATATATATATAAAACACTGTAAAATGATTATAATAATTGTATAATTAATGTTTAATAAATTATTAATTGTCATGTACACTAGTATCTATCTATCTATATAATATACTAGTATTCACCCGTGCGATGCACGGGGCGGCATATTTTCAACTGGAAATACATGTCTGCAAAAAAAATTACGCATATATAAATTATTACGCTCATTGAATTTAAATACAAAACATGACCAGCAAAATATGTTTTAAGTATCATGTTCTTCATAGTTAAATCATAAGAATAATATTAAATATTAGTATATCGTCAAAAATAAATCTTAAAGATAATAAGATTTTCACTGAGCATCCTAGGGACATGACTGAAAATAACATCGCACGGGAGAAATTATATAGAGAAGAAACACCTGCCAAAGAATAAGTTGTTAAAAAAAAAGACATGTTACATGAATAATTGATAAATATGAAAATATTTTCTACCTTCAAATTCGATGAAATACTTCCTTGTACACGATATTTCTAGTAACATTGGTGAGTTCACCCGAATCCGACTTGATGAATATCTTAATGCACCTCTGCTCGTAACTCTGGACAGTGCAACATATAGTTGATCATGGCTGAAGATATGCTTAGGAAGATACAAACCAACATGTGAAAGAGTTTGACCTTGGCTTTTATTGATCGTCATTGCAAAAGAAACAATCAACAGAAACTGTCTTCTCTGATCTGAAGTTAGATGGTATTAAAGTCATCCGAGGAATGAACACCATGTCACCGATATTTTTTCCGGAAAGAATTTTGCAACTCATAACGTGAATGCCAGTTCTAATAATTTGAAGTCTGGTCCCGTTACACAATCCTCTAGCTTGATCGATGTTTCTTATTAGCATAACGTGTGCACCAACCTTGAACTTCAACGCATGAGAACGAAGTCCGGAGCATCTTATTGTGTTGAGGAATTCAGTCGAATAAATTTATGTATTATCATCCATTGTTTGCTCGTCCCTACACATACTATCTGAACTCAGGAACACCTTCTCCTCTCCTGGAAGGAGAGAGATTAAGTGATCGTTCACATACTCGATGCATTCATTAGTTGGTGCAAGAATTTCTCTCCCTTGAAAATAATCTGGATCATACATGTTACTCAACAAATCCGGGTAAACGAATTCCAGTAGGTCTCTGAATGGATCTTCTGAATCACCAATCAACATGTCATCGGGAATCTCTATCGAAGCTTCACCATCATTTTGTTCCCCAACATCCTCATTACCAACCTTCAGTATCCAGTCTCCAAATTATTTTACCTCATCTACGATAGATGGAGAAGAGCATGACTGCAATCTCATGTTCTTAGTCAACTTCATGACACGACAGAAATTCCACAGGGGAGAGGAGTTTATCGTAGCATGTACTATGTCCTGCCTTGATGCTTTGAGCACAACTGGTAAAATTTGCCTAAAATCTCCTCTAAGAACACCCACCTTACCACCAAAGAGTTTGTCAACCTGTAATATTGACTTCATTGTCTTGTCAAGCGCTTCAAAATAGTATATATGCATCATAGGAGCCTCGTCCTATATAATAAGCTTTGCCCTCATGAGCAACTCCCCTGTGGACTTTGTTACGATATGCTGTAGGTGGAACTCTCGTGTACATTTATGGGTAGTTCGAATCGAGAATGAGCTGTTCTTCCACCGGGGAGCAATAACGATGCTATACCACTCGATGCAAGGTTAATTACCATCTCTCCCTTAGAACGAACTGCAGCCGAAAGATTTTACCATAGAGATGTTTTTCCCGTTCCACCATGGCCATATAGAAAGAACATTTCACCATGGTCATTGGATACAACATCCATGACTACATCATAAACCTTTGTTTGCTCGTTTGTAATTCAAGCAAGACACCGTTGAAGTTCCCTACCCATTTCAAACCGGTGGTAATCCAGTTCATCTGACACCAATATGTTTACGTATTGTGTCATCCGCTGAGAATTCGATTGGAACTGGCATGGGCGCGTAATTTCGCAGCCATTTACCATTGCTTTGCAATATTTTTTCTATTTCGGTGAGAGTATAGTTCTTCAAGCTTTCATTCGATATATGTAAATTTTCAAAAAAAAATTGATAAATTATGTGCATTTAGTTCAAAACGTAAAGAGACAATATTAAAAGAATGAGTAATATTTAAAATCTAATTGAATACCGTGCTATACAAATTGGCGTACCTGGATTATTATGAAGACGTTGTAGTTTGTAAGCAATACCCTCCGCCAAATCCAACCAACAACTTTGTCAAACATGTTCGGGCCGACTTAAGCTATTGGAAAGAAGCATAACTACAAATAACCTTCTTATATAATCCCTCAGTGCCCAAGTATTCACTTCTATTATTGCATATATGTATTCTTTGTCGTCATCTAACAAACCCAACACATAACATGCATCCGTGAACGTAGGGTAGACGTTGTCAAAAACTTTTCTGATGTCCTCGTAGCACGTATATCCCATCTGAATGTTAAGTAGCAATCTAATGTAATAGTCTTCCCCCTTTCCAGGGGGAACATTCGCAAGCCTACCAATAGAAAATCATTGTTTCCTTGGCGCCCAAGTTCGAGAATCATCTTTATACACAAATTGTTGTGGAAAATTTTCGTACCTCGAGTCCCTAGCATGTGGATAGTTCTTGTTGGCTTCAAACCACGCTAGGAACATAGTTTGCTTGACAGATGGCCTATCCAGCACACTTTGTAATGACTGGTTTTCATTGAAGACAAGCGGCTCATGATCGGGGAGATGAAAGCTTAGCCAAATTACGGACGGGTCTCTGCAACGAATATCAAAATTAAACAACCTCCACATTGCCTCACATGCCGAAAGATATCTGCAGTCGTAGTACATCTTTATCGCATCACAAATCTCAACACCGCCATTTGTATTGCGTGTTTCATAAAATGCTGCCGTAACACGGTCATGCCCCTTGTTTACGTATTTGAACATGTATTTGATTGACTTATTATGGTTGCATAACTCGATATTAATGTGAGATCGGTATTTACTTAACAATATACGATTGTACGGGACTACAAACCCATTGTCAAGAGTAGTCTTCTTCTTCGTAACTGTTCTGCCATCTTCCATTCTCCTGTACACAGTAAAAACATGTGCATCTGATTCAATGCGCTGCACAAACGGCTTTGGAAATCGCTTCGTGCAAACTCGATCCTTCATACAGGGAGATTTCAAATTCGCCTGACCGCACGGTCCATGTATCATATACTTCTCCACCAACTGGTACATCTTTCGGTCATTTTCTTCGTCAGGATTTTCAGCACAAATGATCCTATCAATTTCTTCTAGGTTATTGGGCTTATCGCCTCGTTTCTGAAATTCAATTGTGCATACATCTGCATAGAAAATATAAACATTGGTATTAAAAAAATATGCATTAATTTAGTTAAGGAATCAATAAGTAGTTAAACTCACACATGAGCGAATACTTTAATTTATATGAATGTAGTAAATGTATAATTATAAACTGAGATCTAATTAAATACTTACATGCTATAATACGTCCGAATATACAACCCTTCTTGATTTCTGTCATCATACTATTGAGCTTCATCTTGAACACACGACAAAGAATGTCTGGCCGATCCTCCGGCCTGAGATTTGTATCTTTCAACACCCTTTGTATTTCTGGCCATTGAGGATTGCATGTGATGACTATGAAGAGGGTTGGAAATCCAATCCAGTTACATATTTGAGGAGCATCAACGACGTTGTTAAACATATAACTTGGACCTGCGGTGAATGACCCTGGAATTATAATGCGTTGTCCAACTGATTTACCCTCAGTGTCTCCTTTAAAAATCTTTTCTTCGATACCCTTGTACATGTCAACCCTAAGTTGATCTTGATTGAACCTTACGAAATTCAACCTATGTGACTCTACCATCGAAAATCCATCAACACAGAACTGCTGAAATAACTTCTTGGAATGCAAAAGTAACAAATGTTATCCACGCCGTTTCTGGATTAGATATGCAAAGAACTCTTGCATGCTTACCTTCCTCCATTTTCTATTATCAGCAAGCAAAGATTCTCACAAACTGATATCGTCTCGATAACCATCTTCACCGTAAGGAAATAGAAGAGGATACTGTAGAGGCAAGTAAAGAGGATGGAGCTCACTGATTCGTTGAAGCTTATTTGAGCGTGTCTCAACTACAATATCCCTAACACCCTCTTGTGTGTCAAAGTCCCCGACGATCAAGCCTGCTATTTCACTTGCGTTAGGAAGATTGTACGTCTTGCCATCAGTACTGCAACTCTTTAACAATCTAAGTTTTACTCATTGATGGCCATCATTGGAAAACCGATCTCGAAAAGCACGGTACGGTTGTGCAAGTACATTGTTACCATCAATCATATCTTTCAACGATGCAACGATGGTTGGGCCAAGATCATTAGATTGATTTCCGGACCTGCCAAACAAAAAAAATATAATTATAATTTGTAAGCTCTATACTCTTTAGAAACAGGAATATAATTCCCAAAATTTTACCTGACGACATCAATTCTATTATGAATCTCATTTTTTGTGTCAAAAATGTAAAGCTGAGCAAATTTAGGCCTAGTGCCTTCTTTCGGCAATAAACTGCCTAGTAGATGGTAATTTTGGACATGTAATAGAAATGTGTATGGACCAGATCCGTTATTAATAGATGTATGCACTTTTCCACAAGCGACGTGAAAGAAAACATCATATTATACGATTGTACATGCCCTTGGAAATGTTTGCTCCTTTGATCTGTTCCAAACACAAAATTATTAAGTGTAGGAGGTGCATCTTTTATTTTTGGGAGCTGGACTTTCCCGGACATACAACATAGGCCGAATTTGGGCCTGGATGTTTGTATGTGCTTGTCAATTCTTTCACCGTACCACATAATTGCACCGCAAAACGGACATTCATACGTCTGGTCTCCAAGATCTTTATAATCTATCCAAAATTAATTAAATGAGATTAGTTATTAAAAAAAGATAATGCAATGAATTTATATAATTAATAATGTAAAGATTAAAAGTTGTTAGATTAAAATAATATTTACCAATATCGTCAACTGCATCGTCACTATTCTCATCGTTGGAGACATATTCAGAATCTACATTTAAAAACAAAAAAATATCATTATAGTTGAAAAATATACTGACAATAACGCATAACAATGAGATACGTTATGAGATAATGACAAAGATAATTGCCTCCGTTGTCAGAAGAAATGTCTCTTACCGTCTGTAAATCCTCATCTACCAACATATAGGTACTGATTTCATATCCAACACACGTGTTACAGAGTCTATTGTTTTATGACTCCTTGACATCTTCTTTACATTCTGCACGGTACAACTAACAAAACAGTTAACATTCAACTTCTATCGAAATTAAAGAAAAAACTAATATATTGTCTACATGTATTGCACACTTAATCATTTAAACTCGGGCATAAAATTACTCACAAAAAAATAAGATCGCACCTTTTATTTTATTCATAATAGGATATTGTAACTTGGAATGGATCTTCACATGATGTAGATGCACCATTGTGATAGTACTCAACGTCATCTGTCGTAATAGCAAAATAGCCTATTTATTATAAAATTCATTTATAATTATGTAGCGATAATTGTACAAAGATAACAGTATTAACGTCTAATATAAAATCGACACCACAATTAGTCCCCATTTAATTAATGCCGCTCGTTTTAATAGAAAAAAAAAAGTTAAAAAAAAACCACTTGATATAATACCTTTCTTCTTCTTCTTCAATTTTTCTATATATGTTGGAAATATTTTTTTTCGTACACTATTGACAGCATCTGTGCAAGGACATTGGGAGAATATTATTTAGTTAGTTATGACCTATACGAAATAATGACAACAAATTAAAAAAAAAGCTATATGATTGAGTAGTTTGTGATATTAGTATTTAAAGTTAAATTTAATTACTAACCAATTGAACGATAGATTGTAATGTAACTCGATTGTGTTTGATCCATGTTCACTCGATTTGAAGCATCACCTAGAAATTTTGTGTGTTTAGGAATAATACCTTTAGCCTTTTCTTTTGCAACATGTTCTAAAGATGAGTGTTGTATACTGTGGAATATACATAAAAATCGTGGATATTAATTATATGTGGATATATATATATATATATATATATATATATATATATATATATATATATATATATATATATATATATATATATATATATATATATATATATATATATATATATATATATATATATATATATATATATATATATATATATATATATATATATATATATATATATATATATATATATATATATATATATATATATATATATATATATATATATATATATATATTAAATTCATTATATAAATTTAGTTATAATTAGATATTTATACTTGTAGTTCAAAAAATATTTTGAATCTTATAATATGGAGAAGATGTAAATATTCATTAAGATCATTCAATAAGATTTCATACATGCGTACTATATAATATATATTAATAAATACGGAATACCCTTATATAGTTAAATGGCTAACCATTGGATATGTCGGTTAGAACGCAGTTATCACGCCTTCGATCAAGATCAATTCCCTAGAAGGTGCCACCAAGCAATTTCTTTTGTTCAGTAACGACTCATTTACCTCGTTTACTTGCAACTTGTTCAATCATTATTTCTTTTCATTTTCCTTTGTCAATACAACCTACACATTAATATTGATAAATAATTATAATATAGTATAGCGTGTATATTAATATATATATACACTAAACACTCTTTATCTACAAAATAGGTATGTATATATAATTGTTAATTTTAAAAAAAAAGATATTGAGATTTTGTATATGACGTACTATTGTTAGACATGTATTTCAGGCAGTGGGTCTCTCTCTATAGAGATATATCTATATATATACATAGAGAGAGATATATATATACACACACATATATATATTTGTGTATATATATATATATATATATATGTAGTTTTATATCTGGAAGATATATATATATATATATATATATATATATATATATATATATATATATATATATATATATATATATATATATATATATATATATATAACGTTTTTTGATAACTTACGTTGGTTCATACTAGTAGGAGACCTAGTGTTGTGAACGTAATCCTGTGGCCATGACCTTGCATCCCTTTTAATAATTGTTTCTACTGATAGATGTGAAGCTATAGATAAAAAAAAATAAACCGATAATACAAACAATAATATTTACATTTACAACGCGAATATGTAGCTTACCAATAGGTACATCGTATAATATAGATTTTTCAGGGGAAGAAGACGTCTTTTGTTATTGTCCATATGTAAATGTAAATACTATGCACATAAACGTGCGAAAACTAAATTGCACAATTAGAAGTGTGTATAACTCTTTATAATAAATATAATTAAAAATAATCAATGTTTGCATCACCAAAAAAAATGTATATTGTGTCTTAGAAGCGGAAAAAAGAATAATATGATTGTAATCATATGCATAGAAAATTGTGTGACTTTCATATAAAAAAAACTTTTCATATAAATTGTTAAATCATTTATAAGAGGTATGTATATAAATACATAGATCTTATATGAATAAGATATACTCGCCTTCAATTTTTTATATGTAAATAAATATAATAAAATTGTATGCGTAACATAAACATACATTGAAACAAATACGAATAAAATTATATAAACGTTCCACAAGATACATAATTTGGACTACCGTGTAATAGCATTAATATATGTAGAAAATTAAAAGTAGATATGTGATTTAGAGAGCCTAATGAAAGATGAAGAGATGATTACAAAACATGATCTATATATGTGATTTAATAACAATACATGAGAAATAACTAATAATTACATGTACTCGTTCGGTAATACTATACTCGAATACTATAAAATAAATGAAAAAAAAACAAAGTTAAATACAAAATATCCATCTTATATGTCACGTTTCGTAATGCGTGGCTCGGATTGTAAGAATACAATTATACTCAACATTCAGAAAAAGAGAACGATGGCTAAATGATGATTAGATGGGATAATATTATTTTTCTGCACTTTAGACTACCACTGAAATAAATCATGTATATATATAAGATGGTGAGAATTAATTGTTCAAAAATTATAGTAATTGGTTGCTAATTTAATGGTTGATTTGAAAAAATGCAATGAATAATTAATTGCATTTTTTCAATTTTGCCCTTTCTCACTTATACTTAACTAAAATATTATTATTTAAAGATCAATTAATGGCATGGGCATTTTAGTGATTTCCTATACTTTTTGCTATTATCTATGCATATTTATTGAGTTTCTTAATATGTGTGCAACTAACAAAAGTGACAACTATTGACGGAAGGAGGGAGTATTTTCTTGCAATAAATACTCACATTCCATTTAATGAAACATAATTAACTAATTTTCAATAATTAATAGCAATTTTATATTAAAATAGATTTAATATCCGATTTAAAATTGAGTATATATTGGTTATAATAGTTGATGGTTAGTAAATTATAGTAATAATCCCTAAATTATAGTAAATGTTACCAAAAAAAACCGGACTCATATATTAATGCCTAAAGTAGAGTAAATGTGAATAATGTCCCTTTTACATATATAATTATTTTCCAACTAATACCTAAATTATAGTAAATATGGATGTTATAGTAAAGGAAAAACATATATATATATCTATATATATAAACATGGACATGCAATATTGGAATATATATATATATATATATATATATATATATATATATATCGATTATTATATGTGTAATAAACTAAAAAAAAACGTGTAACAAAAATATATGTTGCTCAAATTGACATTTTTTGAATGTACATAATCATTCATTGTTTTGTTATCATGGTAATCTATTAATTCTTTTATTAATATATATCAATAAAAATATATCCATTTTAAAATTTGTCCTAATTCCCATATCTAAAATATATTCATCTAATAAG